ACGTCATCATTGGCCTTGTCTTCCAGCTGCTGTAACTCCTCCTCCTCTACATCACCAGCATCCTCCATGTAATTTGATCTTCTGGCTCTGCTGCCTGCTGAATTCCATAGGTGGATGGCTTCACTCGGATCAAACTCCCCAACCTCCAAGGTGCCCAATAAGACCTTCAGTAAATCTGACAGATTACTGTCGAGCAAACAACTCCTTCAATCGTTTTTCACACTTCCCATTTGGCTAAACCCTCTCTCAGCCTCGACGCTGCCAGCAGGGAATGCGAAGACCAGGTCGATTAGCGCAAGGATGTTGGGACATTTGGCCACCATACCCCTGTTGATTGTTTGCCAGGAGAGCGATTTCATATCTGGGTAGCTAGAATTGTAAAAAAATAATACAATAATTTAACTCAATTCTCAAGCAGCATTTATGTAGTACCTATATAAGACAGGCTTCACTAAAGAACTGGAATGATAATTAAAAATTGTCTTACCTCTGGTACATAAGGCACTTGAGTCTGGTGAACTCTGGCTCTATCAGGTTGCTGTCCTTATCAGCTGCATCCCGTGCTGGAGCAAGCTTACCAAGAAGTACAGCGACCTGGTCATCTCCAAAATCTGAAAAATAATATTCTACTGTTAGTACATATGTCACCGCGTGCTTCTTTATTTAAGCCCACGCGTGACGGCGTGATCGTATCTCTGTTTTAGTACCCCGTGAGGGAATAACCCGGCTCGAGGATATAAAAACCAGTCCGTAATATGTAACGCAAGCTTCTACGTTATGATTATTGTGTTGTTTGCTACGTTATGTTTCGCCAAAAGACATAGATAGCTGATGCATAGACAAGAGAAAGCCAGTTGTTACCATGATTTGCAGTTTACTGATGGTTTGAGTACAATTACAGCTGTTGTCGCGGTCGTGCCTGGTTGAGGAGGAATTCCCCGATCCTCCCCGGCTCTCGGCTTATATACGCCAGCCACGACCGCGTAACCCACATGAGTCACGCGTGCGTCACGCGTGCGTCACGCGTGCGTCATCCGTACTCCCGCGATATCACATCGACACAAGCCCTCGTTAGGGCTCCTTTGAAGTGCCGAGCGAGAAGTGATAATCGACCGAGCTGTGAAGTGCCGAGCGAGAAGCGAGGCCTTCACAGCTCCTCCACAGCTCGATCGATCATATAGACACAACCCTCGTTAGGGCATCGCGGACTAGCCAGCTCAATTTCAGCTCTATTACAACTCAATTACTTCGACCCGCGCACTCCCGCTTTCTCGAGAGAGAGGATTCATCTCTCGAGCGCTTCTGCCTTCTCGGCCAAACTGTTTGCACAGACACGCCCCCCACTTAGAGCTCTATTCAGCTTCTGAGTGAGGAGCGCGGGAGATACGCGGACCTAAACCAATTTAATAACGCACCGCTACACTTCAAACACTGCCAGGACGTCGATACTAGCACCTAAGTGTCAGCATCGATCCTGTAGCAATCCTGTAATGAACGCGCACTCCCCTCCTGACCACACCTCCTGAGTGTCTGAGCGAGGAGCGCGGGGAGATGCGCAGACCTAAACCAATTTAATAACGCACCGCTACACTTCAAACACTGCCAGGACGTCGATACTAGCACCTAAGTGTCAGCATCGCTCCTCTAGCAATCCTGTAATGAACGGAGGAGCGCGGGGGAGATGCGCAGACCTAAACCAATTTAATCACGCACCGCTACACTTCAAACACTGCCAGGACGTCGATACTAGCACCTAAGTGTCAGCATCGATCCTCTAGCAATCCTGTAATGAACGGAGGAGCGCGGGGGAGATGCGCAGACCTAAACCAATTTAATCACGCACCGCTACACTTCAAACACTGCCAGGACGTCGATACTAGCACCTAAGTGTCAGCATCGATCCTCTAGCAATCCTGTAATGAACGGAGGAGCGCGGGGGAGATGCGCATACCTAAACCAATTTAATCACGCACCGCTACACTTCAAACACTGCCAGGACGTCGATACTAGCACCTAAGTGTCAGCATCGCTCCTCTAGCAATCCTGTAATGAACGGAGGAGCGCGGGGGAGATGCGCATACCTAAACCAATTTAATCACGCACCGCTACACTTCAAACACTGCCAGGACGTCGATACTAGCACCTAAGTGTCAGCATCGATCCTCTAGCAATCCTGTAATGAACGGAGGAGCGCGGGGGAGATGCGCATACCTAAACCAATTTAATTA